CGCCAGGTGATCTCTAACATCCTCTCCTTCCAGCTGCGCCTCAAGGAGGAGGAGTTGCGGGACTACCAGCGAGCCGAGGAGGAAGCGCTCACGAAAAGGCAGCTTCTGGAGCAGTCGCTGAAGGATCTGGAGTACGAGCTGGAGGCCAAGAGTCACCTCAAGGATGACCGAAGCCGGCTTCTCAAGCACATGGAGGTGTGTGGGCACACGGGCAGGGACTGGGCTGTGGAGAGCACGTCTGCCACCAGGGAGACGTAGGAAGTCTCGGGATCTTACTCTTTTTTGATGTTATAAATATCGTTTTTGGTTTTGTTTTTGTTTTTTTTTGGTGGGAAGGAGCTTATCATGTTGCAGTGTGTCAAAGCTAGAAGGAATGAAGGATGTGATTTAGTCTAATGGCTTCATTGATTTGAAGAGGATACAAGTTGATCCTCCAAAAACGTAGTTGATGGTGATGTGTCCCTTTGGCAATGTGTCCCCTACAAAGGCTGCAAGACTGCCGACTGTCCGGTCAGGACCCACTGTGCCTCAGACCCCAAACCTCCCACCCCCTGCATGTCAGAGACCAGCTGACCAACCACACAGTCCATTCTTGGTCCCGGCCCATCTTCCTGAGTGTGTATGTGTCATTGCTAGAGCCACCAGCAAACTGTGGCCCAGTTCATTGCCATTTCCACTTCCCAAGATTGTCTGTAACCGCTCAGAGCAGTCACCGGTTGTGGGTGAGTATTCAGGAGCCTAATACACAACACTTGAGAAAAACCTGCATAAATAGAATACCAGAAGCTCTGAGAAGATAGGAAAAGCCTGAATTGCTAAAAAGGAGTAATTTGCAAGAGTGAAATTGACCCTGAACAAGAAACACATGTATGCCCCCTCCCCTCTTCAGTGGAATTTAGAGAGTGAAAGAGAGTCTGGGAAACAAGTCTCAGACTTTGGGGGAGACGTTAACATGGTCAGGATTTTGATAAAAGACAGGCATGGCGCTCAAGGCCAGAGGGAGATGGCTTAAACTCAAAATCAATGAATTCCTCAGGAAGCTTCGCAAATAAACAGAAATAGCTTTTTTAAACCTCCAGGGTGCTTTGCAGTTTATATCTAGGAGTGAAGTCTGAACCAGTGGAGATTTTATTAGATGGGCCTCTCTCAGAGACCCAGGTAGCCCAATGGCAATTTTATTGCTTTGTTTATGGGGTTGCTGTATTTTTCTAATACCTTGCTTCTGATCTCTTTAGGGAGTCATTTTTGAATAACCTAACGCCACCCTAGTTAACTAGGTATGAGTGGTCTTAGGGCCTACACAACCTGGTTAAAAGCAAAGGGATGGGCTAGGGGGATGGCTCGTTTGGTAAAGTGTGTTTCATATAAGCATGAAGATCTCTGTTCAGCTCCCTAGCACACATGCAAAAAGCTGGTCATGGCAGTGTGGTCCCAGTGCCAAAGAGGTGGAGACGGGAGGACCCCTGGGGCTGGCCAGGCCAGTGAGAGATCCCTGTCTCAAAAAAATGAGATGGAGAGTGTTTGAGGAAGACACCTGACACTGCCCTCCGAGCGCACACGCGCGCGCGCGCGCGCGCGCACACACACACACACACACACACACACACACACGAAGTGGAAACTTATCAAGTAGTGAATAAGGATCTTTGATTTGATGAGCCTTGACTTAGACCTCGTATGTTGCGTGGATGGTATGGATTGGGGCAGGCAAAAAGCCTGTCTAAGAGGTGATTTGGGCTGTACAGATGGCTCAGCAGTTAAGAGAACAAATTGCTTTTCCAGAGGGTTCAAATTCAGTTCCCAGCACCCATGCTGGGCAGCTCACAGCTCACAGTGACTCCAACTCCAGGAAATCCAACGGGTGCATCAGCTGGCCTCCGCTGGCACCTGCACTCACATGTACAACCCTCCCACAGATGCCCAACTGAAAGTAAAGAAAGATTTTTAAAAAAGGTTTGTTTCTAAACAGTGTTCTGCCTGACTGCCACAAGAGGGCACCAGATCTCATTTATAGATGGTTGTGAGCCACCATGTGGTTGCTGAGAATGGAACTCAGGACCTCTGGGAAGAGCAGCCAGCACTCTTAACCCCTGAGCCATCTCTCCAGTCCCAGAAATAAACTTTTTAAAAGATAAATGAAAGAAACAGATTTTTTTAGAGATAAGTGATTTTGGCTGGTTATCAGAGCCAGGCAATGGTGGTGCACATCTTTAATCCCAGCACTTGAGTGGCAGAGGCAGGCGGATCTCTGTGAGTTCGAGGCCAGCCTGGTCTATGGAGAGAGTTGCAGGATAGCCATGGCTGCACAGAGAAACCCTTTCTCAAAAAAACTAAGATAGATAGATAGATAGATAGATAGATAGATAGATAGATAGATAGATAGATAAAAATTAAAAATTTTGTTGTCAGATCATTTCCTTTGAGTCTAGAATATTTGAACAAGACATTTCCTCTGGGTAAGTTGGGGTCTTGAACACTGAAGACTACAGAAGGCATTTCTCCACTTGGTCTACAGTGCCAGCCTCTGGGGGTTCTGCCACCGTGAAAGGCACCTGAAGGGTGTGGCTCTGAGAGCTGGCTGGCAGGGCCATGTTGTTTTGACTCATGCCTTTCCCATTCCTTCACTAAAACCTAGCTAATTCTCAGGTCTCAAGAGCTCTCTCACAGTCAGCATTTTCTGTGAATTCAGCCCCAGCCTTGGTGCTCTGTGGATATTTGTGATTTCTGAGCCATCTGGGTAGGTAGGCGACCTGGAACAGGAGCGAGCCACATCCCAAGTTGGTTTCTGGGACTTTCTGCTCCTAGGAGAGAGGGTTTGGGTTTCTTTATAGGTTTTTATTTTATTTTATTTCATTTTATTTATTATTTTGTGCATGTGCACACCAGTGTGTCTCACAAGCATGAGTGTGGAAAGATAGGACAACTTTGTAGAGTCAAGCTTTTTTTTGTGTGTGTGGGTTCTGGAGTTTGCTCTCTAGACTCAGTCTTTATAGTAAGTGCTTTTACCTGTTCAGCCATCTTGCTGGTCCTCCCTGGAGGTTTTGGTCACCACCTGACAAGGCCATTCATTCACAGATGGTTCAACGTTCCCATGAGTTCTCGGGGTTTCATTTCTGCTGTTTATAGAGACACCGTGGCTGTCAGTTCTGGCAGTTCCATAGCTCGCACCTACACACAGATGCCACCTGTGGAAGCTCAAAGTGTTGGTTTTTAAAAAGCATCTGCCAGAGCTAGAGAGATGGTTCTTTGGTTAAGAGTGAGGACCCACCTATAACTCCAATCCAAGGAAAGCCGCTGCCCTCTCTGGCTTCCACAGGCCCTGCACACATGTGGTACACAGACATGCATGCAGACTAACCCCCATATACACAACATAGAAAGAATGGAAACATTGTTTTAGAAATACACATTTTTTTTTTTTTTTTTAAAAAAGCACCATGGCAAAGTTTACCCAGACCTATGACATGAGCTGTATGGCCAGACTGTTTCCTCCCTGCTCTAACTGAACCCTTGGGTTTATATGGCTTGCCTGTCTCCTGGATTAAAGGCGTATTTGTATTCCAGTCTGATCACACAGACCTAGAAGATGTTTGGATGTGATCTCTTGCCAGAACAGCCGTGTTCTGAATTACAATTCCTCCACAGACCAGAGGGACAGATTGTCATTACTCTGTGATGATGAATTTACCAGAATTAGCCACCACTGTCCTATGCAGGTTTGGGACCGTCCACGGCCAAGTTCATGAGTACTGTAGAGAAGAGGCAGGTCAGACTCACATGCCTGCACTCACAGGAGTGAACTAGCCTCTTGAGCACACAGTGTTTACAAGAATGCCTCAGGATGGCTTCTCAGGCTGTATGTTGCCTTGAATGGGGACCAGTTTAAGATACATGCTGACATATCCTTAGTGTTTTTGTTTTTGTTCATTGGGTCTTAGGGTAATGCTTTTTTCCCATTTGTATATTTTCTACATGCCCAGTGATACCACAAAATCAACAAAACACATGTTTTTCAAATACCTGCTTTGGACAGCACAAGAAATGATATGTATAAGGGCTGGGGGTCACTCAGCTGATCGAAGCATGAAGCCTAGCAAGCATGAAGCTCAGGGTTCAGTTTGTGGCACTGAACAGACAGGCTCAATCATGTAAGGCCAGCACCTGGGAGGTGGATGCAGGAAGATCAGAAGTTCAAGGGCATCCTAGACTACTTAGCAAGTTTGAGGCTGCCCAGGGATACATGAGACCCTTTAGGAAAGAAGAAAGGAAGGGAGAGGGGAAAAGAAATGCCTTCCTTATGTTCCCAAGACCTAAGAGTACTCAGCTCTCATTTGCCTTGGGGTTTTCTTCCATGGGCACCTCTTGCTCCTCACCCAGGTCACTGTAACTAACCCATTTATGTTCTTTTTTCTCAGGACAAGGTGTCCCAACTGGAGATTGAACTGGAAGAAGAAAGAACCAATGCTGATTTGCTGTCTGAGAGGATCACTTGGAGCAGAGAACAGGTACAAGGGAGTTGTCGAAGGGTGAATGCATGGTATTGTGGAAAAAGGAGCCATGAGAGGCTAAATCTGAGGGTTCAGTTAGAGCAAGGAGGAAACAGTCTGGCCATACAGCTCATGACAGAGGATCCATCAGTCTTTATCATAACAAGCCACTAGGAGGGAAGGAATCAGTAACATAAGGGAAATTTCCTAGGGCGGTTTCAGGAAGTGATGTATCAGCTACAGTGGGCCAAGGGCTTGGTGTTGTCTGTCTAATTCAGGGTGACTGGGCTGGAAGTTTGGGGGTGAAGGGCTGTCGTCACTGGCCTGGCAGTCCTTGCTCAGAGCTGAAGATGAAATACTGACTCCTTTGACGCCTACCTTTCTGATGGGTGCAGATTTCCTTGGGAAGTGTGGGCTGTGGGGTAGGTGGGTGCAGGGACTTCTAACCCAGGCTTCTGGGCTCTAGCTCTGTCGGTTCCTTGGACTGATGTTGGGATAGCATTCAGGAGCCCGAGCAGCAGCCATTTAGATAGGGACTTTCCTGAGCACCAAGACACAGACGGACAGCTCAACCTTGACATCAGCTCCCCCAAGTTCTTACCAGACACGGCTGTTTTGTTAGGCATTCCTGCCAGTTTGGTTAAGCAGCCGTGTTACCCCAGGGTATTCTGAGATCTTTTAAGCGTGCATAATGGCAGAAGTGCCCATGGATTTGTTTTGTCCACTTTCCTTGTGCTATGTCACCTTCTCAATATTCCGGGCGGTTAAAACCAGTTTCCTGTTCCATGATTTACACCCAAAACAAAACACAGGCATGCTGAACCAGGACACAGTGCCTGCATTGGTTCAGCCACTGGTCCAGGACTGTGAGGTATCCGTTCCCAGAATACCTTTGGCCTTTTCCTTTTCCTCTCATTGAGCTCTAGAGTCATGGGATGTGACTACTCGCCTCAGTGGTCCATGTTGAAAATTTTCCACTGAGCCAAGAACCTGAGGTCCATGCTGGGCACTCTGTGGGGAATCCCAGGCCTGCCCCTGTGCTGCCTCCCATGAAGCTTTGGGGAAATCCCAGATTCCTGAGCCTCGGAAAATGAGGCTGGGGACGGAGGTATAACTCAGTTGGTAGGATACTTACCCATCATGCCCAAAGGCCTGGTTCAGTCCCCAGCACTGTATAAACTATCATGGTAATGCTTGGCTGTGATCCTAGGAAGTGATGGCAAGAGGATTAAAGTTCAAGGTCTTCCATCCTTAGCTACATATTGAGGTCTGGACAAGCCTGGGCTACAGAGATCCTTTCCCACAAAAACAAACAAACAAACAAACAAATGATATGAAGCTATTTGTGTGGAAGGTTCTAACAGCTTTCCCTCTCCTAACCTGCCACCATTAGCTCTCTTGCCCTCTTCTGCTGTCTGACTTCTCACTGTTTCTAGGAGGTAGAGAGGGGAAGGCCTAAGTTTGCTGTATATGGAGAAACTGAAAATCAAGTTCAAATTGATGTAGAAAGTGATGAAAGACAAAACAAAAGCTCCAAGATAGACCGATGCTTCTCCTTTCTTCCTTTCATGGTTTTTAGTGGTAGGGTCTTGAAGCCCAGGCTATCCTCAAACTCTCTATTGTCCTGCCTCAGCTTCTGAGGGCTAAGGTTACAGGTGTGTGCCACCATGGCTGGTGAGTGGTGCCTGTAGACAGAGGTCTCTGATGTCTTCTGGCCCTTTGATGCCTCCTGTTGAGAGGGACGTTTGAAAGGGATGCACCTGCTTTACTAACAGTCCTTTCTTTCAAAGCAGAGGTAGAGCCAAGGCTGATTTTCTGCCTTTAAAATTAAAGGGCATATGGAGAGGGCTCTGGGTGCCATGGGGCCCTCCCAGGGCCACACACTTACAGCTGCCCGCCATATCACAGTAAGAAGAGGGGCACTTGAAAGCTGAACCTCCCCCTGCTCTCACCACTTCTAACCTTCTGATGCCCCTGACAAAGGCTGGTGACCAGAGGACAGAAAGTGGCATCACCTTGAATCCTGTGAACCGCACTGAATGGCAAACTGCTACTAGACACTGAAGAGAAAGCATGGGGGAAATTTTTTTAAGCTCTTACTTTCTTTTAAAAGTTAAAGTTTTCTGTTTTCTACTTAAAACTCAGTATTTTTTAAGTTCTTCTGAATTCTTGCTTCCTCCTAGTATATCCAGTTCTTTTCCCTAGTCCCAGAGATGGGTCTTAGGTAAACAGGCCAGATAAAAGGATTCCGACAATGCTAGCCCTCTGACAGGACCTTGGGTCTGGCAAGGACGTCAGAGGTGAAATCTCCAGAACTGTGTAATGGATGAAAGATTTGAGGCCCAGAGCCACAAAGGACTTTGGCCAGAGTCGTGGAACAGCTAGCTGCAGAGGCAGCATAAGTTTTTTCCTCCCAAGGACAGTTTTTTTAACTACCAGAGCCTCAAATACAGCAAACATGACTGCACGAATGGCAGAGTGGCAAAGCTGAAGAATGTCCAACATGAGGTTAGGCCTGTCGAAGGAGATGAACCAGATTCAACAAGTAGAAAACTAACAGTGAAATGGCACAGAGGCTAAATACCAAGGGCAGGACTCCAGCCAGTGAGGAAAAGGCCATGATGGTAAGCGTGGCCAAGGAAGGGTTTTTAGAGAAATTTTGGCCTGGAGTCAGCCTTGAAGGAATGATCTACCTGAGAGCCGCTTAGCAGAGTGGGTGTGGCATCCGAGCTAGAGTGACTGGCTGGTAAGCACAGGATGTCAAGATGCTGTGGATGCTCACATATGCTTCAGGTTTCCATGAGGAAAGCAGCGGGAGCACGTTTGGAGAGGAGGACTGGGGTGTTTGAATGACTGTATCCTGAAGGTGTGGGGAGCCATGGAAGGCTGCTCAGCAGAACAGCGAAGCCCATACAGTGTTCTAAAGGGTCATTGTAGGAGCTGGGGATAGAGGAGCCCCCAGAAAGACTTTCACTGAGCTGCTCTTGGGGCAGAGAAGGCGGTTGTGAGACGTTTTGTTTGATGCCTCTGGCTTCGCTCATTATTCTTGTGTTTATTTGACACTTGCTGGCCGCATTATTTACTTTTTGATTCTCGAGGCCTTTTCCCCATACATACTTAGGATAGTAGATAAATTCAGAGAACCCTAATCGAAATAAATGTTTTCTATACCTCTTGAAGCTCGGACTGCTTTTCAAACATGGCTAATGTTGAGAAGAAGTAGATTTGCTTTGGCAGAATGCCATATTTATAAAAGGTGAGGATTGTCTGTTTTCTCATACACAGAACAGAAAAGCTTCCCCTGACTTCTGAGCTGAAGGAAAATTCACTGAGGTACTAACTGTTCTACTGACTTTGGGACTATTTTAATCCCAGGAAAACCTTTTTACCTTTCTTTCTTCAAAAGTGTGTTTCTCTGCCAGACCCAATAGGACCTATAAACCTAGTTACTCAGGAGACTGAGGCAGGAGGATTGTAATGTCAAGGCCTGCCTGAGCTACAGAGTGAGCACAAGGCCAACCTGGGCAGATTACTAGTGAAACTCTGTCCCAGCATTAGTGGGCTGGGAATTCGGCCCTGTGGTGCTATACTTTCCTCCCATGCCGGAGGCCCCAGATTCAATTCCCAGTGCCATGAAAACAAGCTAAAACATTTCTGTCCATGACTGCCGCGAGCCCCGCTGAGGAGTCATAAGTGCTGGTTCCTAGCTGTTTTCAGGGCTTGGAAGGTATAGTCACCACCTACAGTTGCATAGCTTGTGAGAGGGCGGGCCACAGTTTGACTCCATCCTTGGATCAGATTCTAAAGGTCTTCAAGTTAAGAACACGGGTTGGGAGTGTGTCTCAGCTGACAGGATGATTGTTTGGCACGCACAAAGCCCTGAATTAATTCCCCAGCACCTCCTAAACTGGGTATGGTGGTGTATGCTTTTTATCCCTGCATGGAGGAGAGGTGAAGGCAAGAAGAGTTCAAGGTCATCCTTGGTTACATAGGGAGTGTGAGGCCAGCATGAGCTACATGAGACCTTATCTCAATAATAATAATAATAATAATAATAATAATAATAATAATAATAATAATA